TATAATATTTGATTCTGACTGGAATCCCCAAAATGACTTACAGGTCTAGAATAGGATGATTTATATTTATTTTTTTATTTTTTTTTCCCTGCTTCATTTCCTTTTTTTTTTTTAACACTTTTTTTTTTTTACTATTTAATCTTTTACTAGGCAATGAGCAGAGCTCACAGAATAGGGCAACAAGAAGTGGTCAACATTTATAGATTTGTTACAAGCAAAAGTGTTGAGGAAGACATCCTGGAACGGGCCAAGAAAAAGATGGTTGTTCACCTTTAGAATTTAGATGTCTTAGCATGTTCACGTGCATGCATAAAAACATAAAATATATGTATATTATGCATAATTGCATATTAATGTATATTGATTTATTTATTCACTTTATTTAAAGCTAATTAGTTTATCTATGCTCATCTTCTGATCCTTTTAGGTTCTTGATCATTTAGTGATCCAAAAATTAAATGCTGAGGGTCGATTGGAGAAGAAAGAAGCTAAAAAAGGAAGTTACTTTGATAAAGTAAGGGTGTATGTTGAAATCATTTTGTTATCAAACCTTAATCTTTTGTGTTGTCCACATCTGGCTCTAGTTTCTTATTTTTTCTGGGAACTCAGCTGTAATGGTATTTTCCCTGTCTGTGTTGTTATAGAATCATAATATAAATCTTTTGTTCCTGTCTATGTTGTTTTTAACAATCACTTCTAATGATTACAGAATGAACTATCAGCAATTTTAAGATTTGGAGCTGAGGAATTGTTCGAGGACAGAAATGATGAGGAAAGTAAGAAAAGGTTGTTAAGTATGGACATTGATGAAATTCTTGAGAGGGCAGAGAAGGTTGAGGAAAAGGAGGGTGGGGAGCAAGGGCATGAATTATTGAATGCTTTTAAGGCAAGCAATATATGTCTTTTGTTCTTCTGTTTCTCTATTATAATTGTCCTGTACAGGGATGACTTGCTTTTTTGGTTTTTTCCCCCCTCTTGTCTATACCTTGGTGATGGTTATCTTAAAAAAATGTAGATTTGCTGATATCTTCTGTGCAATTTCAATTATATTCCAGGTTGCTAACCTCTGTAGTGCTAAAGATGATGGGAGTTTTTGGAGTCGTTGGATAAAACCAGAAGCCATAGTCCAAGCTGAAGTATAATACTGACTTTTTTGAAGTTGCATTCTTCTGGCTCCTTAGAATTTTCTGTTTTGTCATGTTATTAAGTTTTTTTTCTCCCTTTAGGATGCTTTAGCTCCTCGTGCTGCTAGAAATGCAAAGAGTTACACGGAGGCAAGCCAACCTGAGAGAAGCAATAAAAGAAAAAAGAAAGGAGCTGAGCCTCAGGAAAGGGTCCAGAAGCGACGTAGAGCAGAAAACTCTGCTCCTTCAGCACCGATGATAGATGGAGCAACTGCTCAAGTGAGAGGATGGTCTTATGGAAATCTGCCTAAGAGAGATGCATTACGGTTTTCTCGTGCTGTATGTTATTTATTTATTTAATTTTGCTTCTTAAGTTCTTATAGCCTTCTGTGGGGATAATATGTCTAAAGTGTTCCTTGATTCATGTCTTTGATAGACATCATTGCTTCTTCAGTGCTTACCCTAATTCATATGTTGGGAAATGCTGTTATTATCCATCTGCATGTCATCTCTGTGATGTTTTTAATTGTCAGTATATGCTTCCTTCTTTATGATAGTGTAGCCTAGCTTTTAACTGTCTTTGTTGAATTTCCTTGTTGCCTTGCAAATCAGGTTATGAAGTTTGGAAATGAGAATCAAATCAACTTGATGGCAGAGGAGGTTGGTGGTACAGTTGCAGTTGCTCCAGAAGAAGCACAGATTGAGCTCTTTGATGCCTTAATTGAAGGGTGCAGAGCTGCAGTTGAAGTGGAAAGTCTGGACCCAAAGGTTCATCATGAGTATTATTCTTCTTTTGTATCTTGTGGCTTTCAATGGTGGTGTCTTTGGCAATTGCAGCCCTTATAGTCTTTAAAGTTCAGCAATTTTGTGTTGTAATTACCTGCAGGGACCATTGTTGGATTTTTTTGGTGTTCCTGTTAAGGCAAATGAGGTACTGAATCGTGTTCAAGAACTCCAATTCCTAGCAAAACGAATTAGTAGGTATCTGGATCCCATTAGACAGTTCCGTGTGTTGGCATACCTTAAACCATCAAATTGGTCCAAAGGATGTGGCTGGAATCAGAGTATGCATTTTTTGCTTTCTTTTTATTGCCTTTTCTTCTGTCTGAAGAAATTTTCTTATTTCTTCTGGTGTTACTGTATTTCATTGTGTGGTTCTTGTCATTAGTTGATGATGCAAGGTTGCTTCTGGGAATACACTACCATGGATTTGGCAATTGGGAAAAAATAAGGTTAGATGAAAGGCTTGGCCTGATAAAGAAGATTGCTCCTGTGGAACTACAACACCATGAAACTTTTCTACCCCGTGCACCTAATTTAAAGGAACGTGCCAATTCGCTTCTTGAAATGGTAAGCTGTGTTACTTTTAACTTGTAAAACTTTCACAGCACCCAAACAAAATGGGAATTGAAGAAAACATAAGAGAAGAAGCTTTATTAAAACATTGGGAACACATGATGTAAATCACAGGTTGGCGTAGTTCATATCAACACAAGTACATAACACTAACACAAATAATGCCTCTTGAACACGCAGGAATATTGGAATAGAAGGGCAAACTTTTAACTTGAATATATGGTTAGGGTGCATCATGCAGTGTGGATCATTACTAGATTGGGTCAAATATAGCAATTGGATTGGAGGGTCCAATTTGACTAATTAAAGCCATGATATATATATATATATATATTAAAAAATCAAGGCATGATGAATGTTGGCTCCATATTCTCCAACCTAGTTCATGTCGTTATATATGAAGACAAAAAATAATGCTTCTATATGCACACACGTACATTCATATATAATTAGCATAACATGGGAAAATGAACAAGAAATGCATTATTCATGTGTTAGCTAAATTAAACCTAGGGTTGTATTTGACAACTAATTAATAGTTTTAGTGTTTTATTAAATTGTTAGTTCAAGGCATTTGTATTCGAATCATGGATAAATGACAAAAGCTCCATGAGTACATGTAATAGTAAAGTAGATAATCACACATAACTTGCACACATCTTTTTGATTGTATTTTGGAGCTTAATTTCTTTGTTTTTAATTTAACATGGATAGTTTTTCTAAGCATTAATTGGATTGAAAAATGTTTTAAAAAATGTATCCTCTGTATGGATGCTTAAATAATTTTATTTGTCTGTATGTAACTGTTTAGTTTATATTTTAATTAGCTCACTTTACACCGTGTGGCATTTGTTTGTAGGATTTGATTTGAGTTCCCTTCACATTTTCTTGTTAGAGTTGATATTATTTATTTCAATGAAGGATTCATTTATATTTTCATAGAAATGATAAATAAATCTAGGTTACTATTAAGCTGCATTTAAAAAATTGCAGTGCCTGAAAAAGTGAGAATTCATGGCCATGGACCCTAAGATGAAAAATTATGATTTTAAGAACATGCTGTGGTCAAGTTTTTGACATGATGTTCGACAATCCTTTTCAATTACTATCTGTTATAATTAAACTAAATGGTTTCAACATGTCAGGTTCTCAAGAGTAGGCTTACGGCATGATGAAACATATTTCTTTTCTTTTTTTGTGATTTTATACAGCATGGGCATATATGCTTTTGCTGTATTTGCATGTGTATCTGATGGGTTTTATGTCAGTATGTTTACTGTGTCAATTTAGTCTATTTTATAATTGGGACTTTTTTCTCCATTTCAGGAACTGGCAGCTGTTGGGGGAAAGAATATAAATACTAAAGCAGGTCGTAAGGCTTCCAAGAAGGAGAGGGAGAATCCCTTGAATGTCCCAATATCTTGCGGCCAAGACAAGAGAGGAAAGCCTGGTTCCTCTAAGGTTAGTGTCAAAATGGGCAAGGAAAGAGCTCAGAGGCCTCAGAAAGTTGAACTTTTAGTGAAGGAAGAGGGTGAAATGTCAGACAATGAGGAAGTGTATGAGCAGTTCAAGGAAGTGAAATGGATGGAGTGGTGTGAAGATGTCATGATTGATGAAATCAAAACCCTTCAACGTCTCCAGAGACTGCAGACTACTAGTGCTGATCTTCCCAAGGAAAAGGTGCTCTTGATTTTGTTTTCTCCTGTTCCCCTTTGTCTTCTTTTCTTTCTTTCTTTCTTTTTTTTTTTCCTGGTGCCAGAATTATGTATTTGAAGCTTTCTTTTATTTGCTTCCAGGTGCTTTCAAAAATTCGGAATTACTTGCAGCTTCTTGGACAAAGGATAGATCAGATCGTGTTGGAACATGAGAGTGAACTTTATAAGCAAGATAGTATGTAGTTCTTCGTTCTGAAAAAAAGAAGAAAAAAAGAAAAAAAGTAAAAAAGAAAAAAAGAGAAATAGACTGGATTCATTTTCTCATCTTTTCAATCTGGCTTATATTGTAGATACATATCCCAGCTGTTTGACTGCATCTTAATATGATATATGAACATTTACCTTTTTCGTATTTTCAAATCTCTTTGTAGGGATGACCACGCGATTATGGAACTATGTCTCTACATTTTCCAATCTTTCTGGTGAGAAGCTCCGTCAGATTTACTCCAAGCTTAAGAAGGAGCGGGAAGAGGAGGGAGGGGTTGGGCTTTCCGATGCCAATGGCTCTATCTCTGGTTCTTTTGACAAGAATGGCGATTCTAATTACTTGCCTTTCTCACATCACGGTCAGAGGCAAAGAGGGCGCAAGAATGCAATGGCTTATCAAATGTCAGAACCAATTCACAAGGGTATTGATATAGCTAAGTTTGAAAAGTGGAAAAGGAGGAGGGCTGAAGCTGATTCTCATTCGCAACCTCTGCTCCCATCTCAAAGACCTACAAGTAATGGTAACCGTGTGATAGACCCAAATTCCGTGGGACTTCTAGGGGCAGGACCATCTGACAAGCGTCTTAGTAATAAGGGACCTTATCGGCTGCGTCAAACTGGATTTCTTTCAAGGCAAGGTTTCTCCTCAGGCATGAAGTGAAGTGTTTTTGAGCTCTAAGAGAGGATAGTTGTTTGAAGAGTTATGCTAATTGGCACTGACCTGGTGGCATGTACTGCTTTGGCCAGTGAATATTCTCTGGGATTCTTTTTTTACCATGAGAATAAAGATCTGCAAATTCTGGGTTTTCTGCAGCCGATTTGAAGAAGTTAACCATCTGATGGGATTTGCTTCCATGTGGAAATGCGGTTGAGGAAGAAGCCGAAAAGGATGATTAACATAAGCAAGACTTCCAGGAGTCATTGCTGCAACTTTTTGTTTCTATTTTAGAAAACGATTCCAGTAATTTGTTTACGTAAATAGTCAAAATAGTGGCAGAGAATCTCAATTCAATTCGAAATATAGGGGTATAAGGCAAGACATTTTTTTTGGAAATGGTAAAACATTTGTGTACCATGTAGAAGAAGAAATTGTACATTATCAATTTTGCTTAATTTTGAAGAACTGCATTTTATAGTATACAAAATTGTTCTTGCGGTAGTATATTGGTACAAAGGTTTATTATTTGATGTTATGAAAGTTGTTTTCCTTTGGGTGAAAACTCTTCAGCATTCGGAGCATAAAGCAGAGCTGTCTTTGGGCAACCTTCTGAATTCTGGACAAAAATGTGCGCTGCTGGGCGGAGTTGCTGATTGCAGCAGTGGCAAGATCATATAAGGTTCTTTCTTTCTTTTCTGATGTTTTGCCAGATTGGAACTGTGAGATAATGTTCATTTTGCACCTGGAGTTCCTAGTTTCTACATTGTTTGTGTTTTGATTCAATCAATTCATGTCAAAGTTATATGCTTATACGAGTATAATCCATTTACATTCAATTTCCTACAAGTCATGCAATTTTCTTTCCTGAGTAATCAATGCTAAACTACATATTGGCTTATAATGCTTTTCGGATTTCTTTTTAGGTATTAACAGTAAGTCTGAATGCTAATGTTACTCGCAAAGATGCAGATATTCTGCACACAAAAGAGTATTGATATCTGGGTATTGAGCAACTAGTACCATCAGTGTCCGGTTCTGTGAGGTGAAATGATTTATTTTAGGCTAGTTATTGAATCTCTGGCTGAGCAGCATGCATAAACAGGGAAACAACTCATGTTTTGTGGTCAGAATTTTCACAGAAATCAGATAACCAGAGAGAGGAGAAGGGAAGAGAATGATGTGCGCAGTCCACAAGGAGACTCAAAACAGGGAATAACAAAAAATTAGTCATAGAACATGAAAAGTGATATGTGGTGTTGGTTCTCACTAAAACAGGGTGTGGTTGGCAGCTGCTTTATCACTTTATCTTTCCCATTACTTTCTCAACCTCATACTCGCACTTCTACACCATATCATTGGTAATGTAATAGTATTTTCTTGAAAAAGACAGGAAGAAAAAAAACAAAAAAAAAAAAAATCAAATCGAAGAAGTCTGGGACTATCAATTGTTATTGTTAATGCCAGTACAAACGACAAAAATTTGTTGCTGATTTTCACGGCAGAGTAACAGAGTTCTAATAAAAATCAAGGTCAAATTGAAGTTAAATGCCAAGAATTGAGCTAGTGAAACAGAAATGTTTATTTTCTATCCTGAGTTAAGCAATAGGAAAATCTTCTTCCATTTTCATCATTTGCCAATCCTACTTGTATGATGTTGAATTCAAGATTTTGTTTTCAATAAAAAATGATTTATTAATAACATAATACAATAAATAATTTTGCTTAATCTGATAGGAATTTTCAAACCTCATTAATATAGTATTTTTAATTAATTTTACATAAATTTTTATATCAAATTCAATTATAAAATATAAAATTGAAATAATATATAATATTTATACTCAAAATTTATAAAAAGATATAAATTTAACATAAAAATTTATATAAAATTAATTATAAATTTCTTAATTAATAAAGTTTAACTTGTATTTTAAAAATACAAATTAAACAAACTCAATTTGATATTAATTAATTATTATCAATAAATATTAACAAGAAACGTTGCCAATGAATTCTTGTTGTTATCACTAAATTGAGATAAGAGGGTAAACTAACAAAAACTTTGTTAAAAAAAAAAAAAAGAGATTTACCTTGGTCTTTAAATTTTTAGTTATCGAACCAGAATTAACTTTGAGAGAAAAACAATAAATCCACTGGACGCCTGGTTATCTCAGTCATTCTCAGCCGCAGGATTTCAAGGTGGTCCCTCTTATCTGCCACGTGTAACCGAGGTGGGACCCACAAAGATATTCGGTTGGCCCCCCCGCCAAAGTTTACTCTCATCTCATTGAAAAATAAAAATAAAATAAAATAACTTAAATTCCTTTCCTTCATTGGCTTCTTATATAACTTGTCTGCCCCAGTTCCTTACAGGAGAGTTCTGCTCTCACCCAAGTTTGCAGGAAGATTCTGTCCACAGGTATGCACATACCCACATACTATTATTCCCTGCTTACTTCAGTTATTTCCTTTCTCTGCTATTTGCCTTCACTGGGATGCATCTGCTGCCTTTGTTTTGCCCTTTCTTTGCTCCTATTTCACAAGTTGTGGAAATTAGAAATACCCATGATTCTGAGAATTTTTAGGAACCATGCAAAATAATGAAAAAAAGAAAAGAAAAGAAAAGAAGTGGAAAAACAGATAAAGGTGTATACTTTTACTCTTACAAATTATTGGTTCTTGCAAATTAATTTTGCTTTTTTTGGTCCTTTTTTTGGAAAAGAATAAGATTTATTTTTATTTAGTATTTTGAGAAGCTAGCTTCCATTTTTTATCATCTAGAGATTATATCAGTATTGTAGGTATTAGCTTGAAGCCTTGAACATGACATTATTACAGATTTCAGTAGTTTAAATGCTTGTAAAATAAGTATTTTATGGTTTGTGAGTTAAATCAGGCTAATTGTTCTGTATCATGACTATGAGCAGTGTTTTGAAAACTTTTCTGTTGAATTTCAGAAAAAACTGTTTTGAGTCACTTTTTAATGAACACAGAACACAGTGAGGAAAAACGAAATCCTGATTCGTGGTAATTTGTCCTGAATTTGGCTCCAATATTAATCAATTATAATGCTTAATATCTTTCTACCACCACTTTACCTCAAAATGATTAGGGATGTCATTGGGACTCTGCAGGGTGAAGGAGTCTCTCCCCGTCTCCATCCTGTGAATGGTGGGGATGGGAATTCTCATGAAAATTTTTAAGGGGGGCAGATTTTGCCTCCCATCCCCACAAGGATCTTCATTTCTTGTCAATTAATATAAAAAAATTAATTTTTTTCATATAATTAATTAATATTAGATTATAATGAATAAAATTTTAAAAATTTAAGTACAATTAATTAAAATTCTTTAAATATAAAATCAAACATAAGTTGTCCAAATATAAATAAAGATCAGTCCAAAATAAATAGTTAAAAGGTTAATGATGGGTTGAGTAAAGTTGAGTTAAGTTTAATTTTTATTGAATTGAGTTTAGATTTAAAGGTTAAATTAAATTTAAAATAAAATTAATTTATATATTTTTAAAATTTTTCACGAGGATAGGGATCTCCATGAGTCCCATGGGGCAGGGAAAATTCTCTGCGAATTTTCATAAGGAGAAAATGCTCCGCGTCCTATCCCATGGAGAGGAATACTTCTTCCCATTTTGTCCCTGTGGCGGGGATACCTATGGGGATTAGAGCAAATTGCCATCCCTAAAAATGATACAGTGGACATTCTAAGGGGAAAAAATTTGTCTTCTAATTATGAAGGCTTCTTTTCCTTTTTTTTCTTTTTTTTGGCATCATAAGCTGAATCACTGTCAATGACACAAAGTGACTTGTTAAAATCAATCTTCTTAGCATTTTAATTTGTTGAACCATGCCCCTATATGTTATTTCATGCTAATGAATTTTTAGTGGTTTCAATGTGCTTTTTCACCCCATTTTGGCTGGCTAAAGTGTTTTGTGGAAGGCTACGTGATTAGCTGGGAGTGAACATTGACAGTTGTATGGCTTTTTGCAGCACAGATTACCTGGACGCTTTTCAGCGTCAACGTTTAGGATAAATTCAAATCCCAGTAACTATTCTTTGAAAAGAGAAAAATGGACTACGTCTATGGACCAGGAAGGAACCACCTCTTTGTTCCAGGGCCAGTTAATATCCCAGAGCCTGTCATTCGGGCTATGAATAGGAATAATGAGGATTACCGCTCTCCTGCTGTGCCAGCAATGACAAAAGTTCTTCTGGAAGATGTGAAGAAAATTTTCAAGACCACTACTGGAACTCCATTTCTGATCCCAACAACGGGTAACATTTTCATGAATTCTATTTAAGAATTTAAATTAAGATTTACATGAGAACTTACTTTCTAAAAGCTCCTGATGAGTTTCTATCTCATCTTTATATTCTCCTGCATGAGTTATGCATCTAAAATTCTGTCACATGTACTGAAGCACATGTAAATGGTTCAAATTGGTTCCCTGAGTAATGTGAAATAATTACTTACTTGGAATGACTTGATGAATCTGTTTTTGGTTTCTAGAATTTGAATTTGCGTTTAATTCCTTAACTTCCTTCACATTATGGAGGATGTTTAATTAAAGGAAAATAGGAAACAGGATTAAATGTTTGCATTTTTAATTTCTTGAGTACAACTTTTCAATGATTTTGTATAGTTGTTCTCCCCAAAATCTATCTCATGTTTTTTTGTTAGCTATTGTAGTTAATAATCTTGCTGTTTGGTTTCAGGCACTGGTGCATGGGAGAGTGCCCTTACAAATACATTGTCACCTGGAGATCGGATTGTATCTTTCCTGATTGGCCAATTCAGTCTGCTCTGGATTGATCAGCAGCAACGCCTCAACTTCAACGTAGATGTTGTTGAAAGCGAGTGGGGTCAAGGTGCCAATCTTGACATTCTGGCTTCAAAACTTGCAGCTGATACTGCACACACAATAAAGGCTATTTGCATTGTTCACAATGAGACTGCTACTGGAGTCACCAACAACTTGGCTAAAGTGAGAAAAATACTTGGTATGTGCATATCATGCCTTTTAGTTGTCAGCTATAATTATTGGACACTTGCAATCCCATAGAACTCCTTTTTCATATCTTCTCAGTTTGTAGGTTGCTTCCTTTTTCATTATTCCCTTTATCTAGTATCAGATATTGATATTATTTTCATACTTCATGTTCTTCTCAGATGACTACAGGCACCCAGCACTGTTTCTTGTTGATGGAGTGTCCTCCATCTGTGCCCTTGACTTCCTTATGGATGAATGGGGAGTGGATGTGGCTTTAACTGGATCTCAAAAGGCTCTTTCTCTACCCACAGGAATTGGTATTGTTTGTGCAAGTCCCAAAGCTCTAGAGGCATCCAAAACAGCAAAATCTGTTCGGGTTTTCTTTGACTGGAATGACTACTTGAAGTTTTACAAACTGGGAACATATTGGCCATATACCCCTTCAATCCAGCTCCTATATGGGTTAAGGACAGCCCTAGATCTCATCTTTGAGGAAGGGCTTGACAATGTTATTGCAAGGCATGGCCGTTTGGGTCAAGCAACAAGGTGAGCCACGTTTCTCATTCTTGGACTCATGTCTTTAAATTCTCAACGGGTCCAAGATACACTTCCATTTCATCTTTCACCTTTGTTTTGAAAATATAGATCAATGTTTTTAAATGATTCTATTTGGGACTGTTTTAGAAGTTTAACCTGTTAGTCCGATGAGCTTTAATATGCAGGCTTGCTGTTAAGGCTTGGGGCTTGAAGAACTGCACCCAGAAGGAGGAGTGGTACAGTGATACCGTGACTGCTGTTCTTGTTCCCCCATATATTGATAGCACAGAAATTGTTAGAAGGGCATGGAAGAGGTACAATTTAAGCTTAGGTCTGGGCCTTAACAAAGTGGCTGGCAAGGTTTTCAGAATAGGACATCTCGGCAACCTAAATGAGGTAATTCTTATGAAAATTCTGCAACAAAATCTTTTAGTTCTTCCATATTAGATTCTCATTTCCACCAGACGAGTCTTCCTGAAATGTATTGCGTCCTTGATCAATGGCACAACACTGGATGCTAGCATATTCTTCTTGAGCCTCTGTTCTAATCTCTGTCCTCATACTAGTTCAAGTCCAATTGCGCTTTATGACACTTCTGCTGCATAGTTTTGCTTGCAAACAGAAATTATAATGCAAGTGCGATAGAAATGCTTAGCTAAACATTTACTTTGATCCAGCCTAAATTATGTTTCCGCTTGTTTTTCAGTTGCAACTGTTGGGCTGTCTAGCTGGTGTGGAGATGGTTCTTAAGGATGTTGGCTACCCTGTTAAGCTGGGAAGTGGAGTTGCTGCCGCCTGTGCTTACCTGCAGAACACCACCCCTCTAATCCCTTCAAGGATTTAGGATTTAATTATCCTTCAATCCATTTAGTCACTGCTTCAAAATGCTCTGTAAAAATGCATAGTTGCTTACGCTGCTTGGCAAATATCATATGCTACATACACTACTTGTACTAAACCTTCACTTGAAATTTCTTGAATTAAATGTAGTGCTATTGTTCACCATGTTTTATGCATTCTCCAATTCTATGAACATAACTAACATAGTCCAGTTGACTTGTTAGAATCAACTTCACTCTGATAAGTACTTAAATTGTTCCTGATTGTCTAAGCATGGTCTTTGCTAGATTATTTTTTGGTTTAGCAGTTAGATGTCTCTGGATTAGTTTACACCTATACCCTAAATGAGGTAATAATACTACTAATTACCTATATCCTAACATCTTACCTTTCTGATTATCTTTCCCTAAGCTTTGTCTGATTTATGTATTTTCAGTTGCAACTGTTGGGATGTCTAGCTGGGGTTGAGATGGTTCCTAAGGATGTAGGATGCCCAATTAAGCTTGGAAACGGAATTGCGGCTGCCAGTGCATACCTGCGAAGCACCATCCCTTCGAGAGTTTGATTACACTTTTTTCCTCTTGTTGATTAAAAACTATGATTATTTGGATTTTGGTTTGCAATGAATTTCATGCTTCCTCTTGAAGGTGTTGAATAGTTAGAAAATGTGAAAATCCCAAATGTGGAAAAAAAAAAAGAAAAAAAAAGGGATTTATATATGTTTAGTTTTTTGCCCATACATAATTATGTAAAGTTGAACTCATATGGCTTTTGGGTTTTGAGTTTAGGCCTAACCCATTTAGATGAGCCCTTAAGTATTTTTTAATTAATTTTAAAATTTTTAATTTAATCTTTCAAATTTAAGATTTGAAGAACATATATGAAATTCAAGTATAACTTTTAACAATTAAAAGGAACATTTTCGAAATGATGTCCTTTTATGAAAACATATCAACATATCCAAATAATTGATATTTATTCTG